AGCTGTTTTCTAAAAAAAAAAAAAAAAAGGCCCCAGATAAGCAGCAGCTTTCTTCTTGAGCCTTGCTGTGCAGGAATGCAGTATCGTAAAGCAAAATGAGCCTGGTGGAGTTCTGCCAGCTGCTCTGACCTCTGACTGCTCAGCCGGTGCAGGCAGTCAGGAGGCACATTTATGGGGAAACAGATACAGAAGGGTAGTTGGCAGATTTTTTTAGAGAGCTGGTAAACAGCCCGACTGCTGCAGTGGCTGTATTTGGGCTCACTCTGCCCTCATGTGCCGCCCACACAGCCCCGGTTTCAACAATAGCCTCATGTGTATGAGGTTGTTTATGGAGAAGTGGCATACAAATGCAGCCACTGTCCCCTCAACCCCTTGTTTTGGCCTTTGGGGAATATATTACAGTCTGAACACACAATCCATGACTCTACCCTAGAGGGAATTCATCATGGTCCTGTGGGTAAAGTGCCAGTGGGCAGTTCTGCCAAGACCCTGGCACTATCACACATGAGCACTGGGGTCATGATGCCTCTGACACACTTCTTCCATTCCACAATTCCTGCCTTGTGCAGTCCGAGACAGAGTCAGAAAGAACAACATCAGCCTTTTGGAGCTCAGAAAGCGTAGCATAGGAAACTCATGAGAAGGTGTTTCTTTTTCCACCTTCTCATGGCTCTGAGAAGAGAACCAAAGGGGCCGGTTGTTTTTCTAGGGTGATTCAGAGAAAAGGTGAGGAGCAGGAGTCCTAGCCCCAAACCTGGCCATCTGTTTTCTGTCTTCAACACTTGTCTTTCTCTTTCAGTGCTTCTGCTTGGCCCAGCCATGAACCCATGCTCCTTTTTTGTACATGACTGTTTCTGCATTCTCTCCCAAGCTCGGTCTCGACTTGAATGTGATTATAGCCTCCCACACCCGCTGACCACAACCCTGTCGTGTAATTACAGCAGCAGAGAAGTAAACCAGAGGAAGAAAAAACACTTCCATGGTCTTAATTCCCCTTCACTTCAGCAAGTCTGCCACTTGTCTGAGGTGTGGTAGGGTTCAGCCGAGGCAGGAGATGTTTGTAGAAACAATGCCCAATAATCTAAATACTGCTGATTAAATAGGCAAAGCAATTTCTGTTATAATTTTTTAAAGAAAAAGAACAATTTAAGAGCAACATTCAAGTGCAATTTCTCTTTAAAGACATAGCAGGCAGAAATTGAACATTTGTACTGATTTTTAGATAAATTGCGTCTGTAACATGCTTAAATTCTTACACCCTTCAACAATTTTCAACAATTCAGAAATGATATTCCAACAAATTGCTGTAAAAGTCATACCCAGTGAGAAATAAATGTCATTCAATGTTAAATATGCAAGTTTAGACGTATTTAATTAGATGAAGCAACATTTGCATAAATTAATTGGAATTTTTGAAAATTTCAATTATCCATCCATCCATCTATATTTTGTATGGGTTATCCTACACACGGTTGAGTGTGTATTATCCTACACAAGTGAGACCTAATTCCAGCCTGATGAGGGTTAAGGATCTTGCTCAACTGCCAGGCAGTAGCTTTTTAACAGCTGTGTTAGTGCTGTCCCCATTTTTTCCCCCTGCCAAATCAATAACAGGAATGTAAAAAAAAAAGTGATTGTGAAGTGTGACATGGTCTTAAAGACATTCCTGTCTCTTCAATACACCTGATTGCTAGGGAGTCTTGTCCATGTCCTTTTGTTCTCCTTTCTTTTCATGGATGCGAACAGTTTTTGACGTGACACAGCTCCAGCATACAGTGACACTCTGCCTGTGACAGTGCTGTTAAGCTGGTACGTATGCTAAACAGATGCATAGCACAGCGATGCTAATGGAATCCCCTCCCCAACGCTTCACATTTGCCTGTCAATAATAGTGAGAGACAGTGTAATTGTGTGCCAAGAATAATTACAGCAGTATAGCTTTCCTGAATATCCTAGCTAAATCGATCAGGTTGCCAGGTTTCCCAATTAGGGGTTACCCTCAGATTTCCAATCTCCCATCCGAGATTTGCATAATTCTAATAATTTTGCTGATGCAGCTCCAAGGTATAAAATGCGATTCCAGTTTCCAGAGGAATGTATTGGGCCTGGGTAAAAAATATATTTTTAAAAATATTTTAATCGCTCTTCAATTTAATGAAACTATATCGATATGGCAAATCCCTGAATCGATTCTTAATGCGCATGCCATCTTTCATGTTCTGAGTTTTGGAAATGGTTTTATTTCTTAAACATGTTTTAAGTTGTTAATGAATTTCAATTTCACACAACATTTATAATGTTTTTTGTACAGTAATGTGCATTGATTCCATGTCGCAATACCCAGTCATAGAATCTATGCTATGCGTCAAATCAATTTGAGGTTTCATCAGAGTGGGGTAATCTGCCAGTCTTTATGCTTGCCCTTCAAAACACTCTCAGCTCTGTCCAAAAGGCTGACAATCTCATCTCTTCTGAGTGTCTGGTACTCTTGGATTGAGGCCAGATCTTGATGTCAATCTTTTCCAAGTAGTGATGTGTCTGAACAGGTCTGGAATTAAACAAAGCTTAACTGTATCAAGTATGGCCTGAACTAAAACAGGAGGTCAAACTGTCTTAAAGCATATCGATGACCTTTACCCCCAAAGCACTGGGAGATATCCGGCTCTGAAATCTGAACAGCTTTGGTCTCCCTACGCAAGTCCAGGAGGCATGCCCTTATGATGGCCTGTCAGAATGTCTCTGTGGGTCAGGTTGGGAAAAGTGACAGTGTGTCTCAGTTTGTAATGCACTTTCCATTGGAAAACATTTATATCTCAGTGGCAATATCTTTGGAGCTTCCTGAGGAGAATCAGATTGAGACAGATTCTCAGGTTGAAGGTAATACTTGCTGATGGCTGATGGAGATTGAGCCCAAAATAAATTTTTATCGGCGTGTATAATCCATCTTGTTCACTTCAGCCACCAGCAAGCAGAACGTCAAATCTGAGGAGGATCTGAATGAGCCTGATTCTTAGGTCTGAAGCTCTGCTGCACCAAATAAGATGGGGATGAGTGCAATAAAATGTTCTTTTGGCCTTGCAAAGCTTACTACTTGCTAGTGTTTACGTTACGATCTTTGGCAGATCAAAAATTTGACACATGACGATGCTACAGTTGGCTGGGAGTCGAAGAAGGAATCATTGGTCTTGCTCTCTTCACTGCAAAAAAAATTCACTGAATTTACTTATCAAATGTGTACATTAGTTCCACTTGAATGTACTGAGTTGTATTAACACAGGTTGTTTCCGTACAGCCAACAAGATTTGATCATGTATATGCAAATAAAACTCTGCTTAAACTCAGGACCCTGGTGCTGTGAGGCAGCCGTGTTACCCACTGCCCATATGCAGAACATGATTTAATTGTATTAATTTAATGCTATAGTAATTTCCTGTCATTGCCAACATCGTTGCAGGATGTTATAATGTAATTGGGTCACGTTAATCCTACGTGAATTGATCACACTCAACTACTATATTAGATAGATGTTTAAATTAAGTTTAGGATACAAAATGAAATCATGTTTTGATTTTAAATCTGACCAACCAGATACTCCTTTCTTCATTATGGGAAGGAAGAATATTTTTCCGTCATTCCATCTGTCAGAGTGATGCTAGCCAATCACAGGTATCTGTTAGCTCACGTGTACAGATTAGGGCAGTTATGACTAAAGCCCATAACTCAGTTTCATCCTCCAACTAGGAGGCAATGGCCCCACTACTTGGAATTCTTGCACGGGAATTCAGGAAGGTTCAGTCCAAGTTCAGAATATGATGTCATTTCAACATGGCTGGTCACACCATATTATACTATGTAATTCACTCATTCATTTGTTCATTTATTCGTTTATTCATTTAACTACAGTAACTGCTTTATCACGATGCCTATCAAAGCTTATCCGGGGAACACTGGGCCCAAGGTAGGAGATTTCACACCTGTCTTACCTTTCTTTCAGTCTCCATCTATCTTCTTCTTTCCCTCTCTCACAATAGACTGTGAGAGGTCTGTGTGTGCGTGTGTGTGTGTGTGTGTGTGTGTGTGTGTGTTTGTGTGTGTGTGTGAGCGTGTGTTATTCATCATCGAAATCTCTCTAGCTCTGTGGCCCATCTGCAGCCCAGCGATCCTCCATAGATCATCCCTTTGCCTCAGTAAACAAACAAAGGATGGAGCGCCTTGCAAAAAATAAGAAAGTTGATGTGGTGTTTGTCATCTCCCTAATGCATCAGTATTCACTCTCTCGAGGACAGCAGGTGTTTTGTGTGTATATGTTTAGTAGTCTGTGTTGATGACTACTTAGCAGTATTGTATTGTCTGATTCGAAGAGAACACGTGGGCTTATAGACAAGCTGGCAACCCACATTTACACATGCAGATACGTGTATATCCATGCATGTCCTCAACATGCAAGCTGAGGTTTTACGTTTTTAAGTGTGTGTGTGTGTGTGTGTGTGTGTGTGTGTGTGTGTTGAAAACAAGAGATTGGAATTTTATCATGAGAAGTTTTCAGTTTTCTGTGACTATAAATGAAAAAAAGTTTGTTGCTGGTTATATGGCTTCCTCGTAGTAAAAGTGATGAGGCCATGAGAGATTACTCTTAGGCACGATGCATACTCTTGAGTCACTTACTGCATTTATAAAATGGAAGACAAAAGACAATATGAAGAACAATCCAGTGTTCAATAGATAATTTAGGTTGTTATTATTAATCCATCCATCCATTTTCTGTACCTTATCCTATACAGGGTTGCTGGGAGCCTGGAGTCTAACCCAGGGGATCTGGGGCACAAGGTGCAGGGCACCAATTCATCACAGGGCACAATCACACACAAATTCACACATAATTTAGAGATGCCATTCAGCCTACAATTCATATCTTTGGAATGGGGGAGGAAACCTGAGTACCCAGAGGAAACCAAGACAAGACCGAAGCACAGGGAGAACACACAAGCTCCACACACACAGGGCAGAGGTGGGAATTGAACCCCCAACCTTGGAGGTGCAAGGCAAATGTGTTAACCACTAAGCCACTGTGCCCCACTGTTATTATTAATATTCACTATAAACAATTCTTTCACAATGTAGTCTGTTAACAGTAAGCATTCCTTGGGTGCAACAGGTGTGCGTATATCAAGGATTTTACAACAGCTTCAGCACAGCTCAGCCAATTAGATTTTAGGTGCGGAACATAAGATCTAGTGCATGATTAGATTTTAAAACATGCATTCCTGTGAACACGTGTGTCATCTGTGATGATATACCATAATGTTTTTTGGTTTAAAAAAAAACAAACTTATTGGTATGCAACCTCCAAGCTGCTAAAATACACATCAGGCTGGAAAAACTGGAAAAAAAAAAGATTCCACTTTTGTGGTATTTATAGGCATTGTGTTGAGTGTGAATAGGCCTATTTTTGCAACTTGCTGAATGAAATTGCATTGCATTGTACTGCACAGCATTGGCTGAACTAAATGTACTGAATTGCCTGCTTTTTCTGTATGTTACATACATTTAATCGTTGATTATATGTACAGCTTGTGCGTCCTCATCATTTCAGATGGACAGATACACACTTGTAATTACTAATTTGCTCTCTGCATTGAGACAGTCTCTAGAGCTCTGAATTTGGAGCTTTAATTGGAAGCTCGTTATGACTTCATTTTAATTCACATGATCTGACACACACAGTAAGCTTTAGTTGCTAAGCAACATACAGACAAAGATTACGGTATACTATTGATCGAAAAGTGGCTTAAGTGTAACTATTTGATTGATTTAAAACCTGCACCATTAAAACTGAGTTTCAAATGCCGATCAGATTTAAAACCAGATATATTTTTTATAATGACACATAAGACTTACCAAATGTTTTCTCTTGATTAGATTTTAAAACATTCATTTCTGTGAACAAGGGCTACCGTTCTGTGATGATATACCATAATGTTTTTCGGGGGCTTTTTTAAGCAGGGGTGTTGAAACTTGTTTGTATTTGAGGTCCAAAGTGCTAAAATAAACATCAGGCTGGAAAAATCGTCTTCAAATATTCCACTTTTGTGATATTTATTCGCATTGTGTTGAGTGTGAATAGACCTTTTGTCTGTCGGTTGAACCGTTAACAATGTAAGCATGAAGAGAAAATAGCTGCTAGGCAGTATAGGCAGAACCAGAGTCGCTGATTGGCCGGGGCCCGTGAATTTGATCCTCCAGTTTGCTGCTGCGTACGGACCTTTGGTGTTCTTCATCTCGGCACGCAATTCAAAATGGCAGCGTGAGCAATGCAGCGGGAGAGATGCTGGCACCTGGAATACACACCCAGATCTGGCATCGAGATGAAAGCCAGATGTGTGTGTATGTGTGTTTATGCTTGTGTGTTCCAGGTGTCTCAGATTACAGCTGTGGTCTGGGAGCTGCGAGTGTGAGTGGGCACCAAAGGAAGCTGCGTGTCCTTGGTAATTGGATAGAATCAAGAGGAATTCAGATGCCTCTTTGTTTTAGCACAGGATGTGTGAGACGGCACAGAGCACCCAGGATCTTTGGAGGATTTCTGTACTTAGATCACTGTCTCATTGTTCTCTAGACAGTGCTGATTTGGGAAATATTCATATGACTGATTCAGCTTTATCACAAACTTTTATTTCTAGGTAACAGAGCATGCCTAAAAGTCAGCCATTCCAACAGAAAAGTAGTGGTTTAAGTAACGGATAAAAACATAGAAAGGTGTGCTGTTATAGGAAAATAATTAGTGATGGGGTGGTGTGGTGTAATTTGTTACTGGTACAATCCCAAAGTGGATCATTTTCCTATGACAGCACAGCCCAAAGTGGGTTATTCCAGCAGCTGCAATGTTTTATTTATAATGAACAACATGTCACACTTTTTAACCATTCATAGTTACTAACAGTTACTAACATAATCATAGGGTTGGTGGTTCGATTCCCGGCCCACATGACTCCACATGCCGAAGTTTCTTTGGGCAAGCCATTGAACCCCAAGTCGCTCCCGATGACAAGTCAGCACCTTGCATGGCAGCTCTGCTACCATTGTTGTGTGAGTGTGTGTGTGTGTGTGAATGGGTGAATGAGACACAGTGTAAAGCGCTTTGGAACCACTAAGGCTAAAGAAAAGCGCTATATAAGTGCAGAACATTTAGCAGACCAACATTTGCGACGGGTTCAGCTATTAAGAGCCGTTCTGTCTTTTTTCTCTCTTTTGAAGTTATTAAGACAAAAAACGACAGCATGTCATGTTACAGAGAAACTCACAAAATATCACATGTCCTGAAGACCCATGGACGAAAACTTACCAATGTTACAATGCACTGACACTGGAGACTCCTTCCATGAATGTCTCCTTAGTGAACGCTTCACAGTTTCAACGATTTATTTGGAGCAGTAATCAACACTGTGCTATAAAGCCTAATATTAGCAAAGCTGTGTGTGACACACTACCAAATGTCATATTTGTTCAGCATCCATTTACTCTGATTAGAAAGCTATAATTATAATTGAATTATAAAAATTATAAAATTATAATTGATTAGTCATGTAATGTTATTTAGCAACTTTTCATTGAGATGACGTTTCTACGTCCACTCCCAACTAACAGCATTTTTACTTTTATAGCACTTTCTGACAAGGACCCTTGTATCAAACCCTAGCATTTTGACTACCCATTTCATTTTATTTGGACCAGCTGTCTTGTTTAATTGACTGGATCTATTCCATTGAGATGTGCTGGAGAGTAGCATCCACATTTACTGGCCCAAAGTGGGACCTGCTTAGTGATTTAGAGGAACATGACAACCTGAAGTAATTTGGCCTCCTGCCGCACTTCGAGTCACATTAAGGACAATCGACATTCCCTTCATGCACAATTAGGCTTGTTTGCCTCATTTCATTTAATGGCTTTTTGGGTTTCTTTGGGTTTTTATGTCAGTGGAACAATGAACACTATCTGCTTCATCGATTCAATTAGGCACCTATGATAGAGTCTTTAAAATGACCTTCTTTAACCTATTTTAATCCAGTAATTTGCTTTATTTGAGAATTAAAGTAAACATAACCACATGGAAGGTTGAGATATGGACACGGTGCTTTGAAAGCAATAGTTTGGACTTATGCTTGACTAGGTTTGAAATTTCCATGGTATGGTAACTCAGGGTAAAAACATCACAGTACTAATCAACATCTAAAAACAGAGAAGCTGGTAGTGAAAGTTAAAAGAAAAATTAATTACAAATTCTTCATACATAAGTGTTCTTGTATATGTAACAAAAGCCAGAAGGAAAAAGAAAGATCAATTCCCCAATTTCTCCTTCTTAGAAAGCTATTTTGAGAATGATGTTTCCATAAAATCTCTTACATTTTCAGTATTTTGTTGTTACATTTTCATGTTGTTGTTATGAGATGAAACAAAGGATAGCTGCGAGGAAAATCTTCTTAGCCAAAAATAGATATTTGTTTGATTAGTTATGAACTGCAGTGCTGTGTTCTTCTGTTGTGTTTGATAGCCGTGGTATACAATACAATTGCAAACATGCTAGGAGCCCCAACAGAAGTAGCAATGTAACATTGTGGATTACACAGTCAGGGTTTTCATGGCTTTATTTTTAATAAGGAGGCCTTGTCTTATCTAGTTTTTGACTGATGTAGGGAATGAAATGTGTTTTGGTTATATTTGGGGAGGAAACATGACTGTGGACCATTCTGAAGTTATCATGAATGCTCCATACTTCACAGCGAGACCTCTTCTTGAAATTAACAGAATGCACATGAACGTTATTTATTAATAGATGTTATTCATTATACAATCACTGATTTGTGTAAATAAGAAGTATCACAATTTAGTAATGACATAGACTAACAACATGCATTTCACCATGTTGTTTGCTTTAAATTTGACAATTACAAATACACAAGCTATGGGATGTATCAGTGAGGTACCTGAGGTAGCAATGAAACATTAAACCTACATGAAGGAGCTGATTTGCGCAGCAATACTGATGCCTTGTTTATTTAATATTACTAAATATAATGTTTCTTCCTTAGACTTCACCTACATTTAAACCTGGACAACTTCTCATTCAGTGCAAAGAATGCGATGAGCACAGTGTCTCTATGAAAGCAACAGTTTTGAAGGGCTCTGATGAAATAAATGCTTTTCATCACTGCAGTTGGAACAACCAAAAAAATGCTGTCGTAGGTATGGCCCACTTTGAAGTGTTTATCACTTCAAATAGACCTTCAGAAAGGAGGCGTGGCCTGAGTGCCTGTTGGTTCCTGTGAAGGAGGCGTGGCCTCTGTCTCTGTCAGTCTCAGTGAAGGAGGTGTGGCTTCTGTGCTGGTCAGTCTCAGTGAAGGAGGCATGGCTCCTGTGCCTGTCAGTCTCAGTGAAGGAGGCGTAGCCTCTGTGCCTGTCAGTCTCAGTGAAGGAGGCGTAGCCTCTGTGCCTGCCAGTCTCAGTGCAGGAGGCATGGCCGTCCACTCTTAATAGTTAACACTTTTTTTGTACCCTGCTGAATGAACTTGCATTTCATTATAGTGCATTGAATAATAATGCACCTGTATCTCACATACATTAAATTGTTTGCGTATATGTGCGGTATATGTTTCAGAAGGACGGATACGTACACACTCGTAGTTGCTAATTTGCTCTCTGCACTGAGACAGTCTCTAGAGCTCTGAATTTGGAGGTTTAATTGGAAGCTCGTTATGACTTTCTGTCTAATTCACATGATCTAACACACAAGAGACCAGAACCTGGCTTCTGACTTCACACAGAGTTTACACACACACACACACACACACACACACACACACACACACACACACACACACACATACACACTGTTTCTATATTTAAGAGCTTTTGACATTCTCTGAGCTTAAAACTCAGGAACACCGTATTGCATGTTTCCCGATCAACATGGGGAGGCTTTCTCCCCACGGAGTTATCAAAAAAATCACACGCAGGCACACATTTTCTTTTCTGCTTCTGTTTGTCTTCCTGCTGCATCTGCTTCTTTCCTCGGTGCCTAT